TTCTCAAAAAAGAGAGTAAAATCGCTAACTCCAGTTTCACTCCCCTTTCACTCTGGGAAAGGAGCGAATTTGCTCCATCACCAAGGAGTAAAATTGCTCCCCTCCTCCGTGAGTAAAAACGCTCCCTGCAGAAAGAGATAGGGATCTCATGCAAATATGCAAATCCTCATATATACTGTGTGTCGCTTTCGCTCTCGTAAAATGCAGTCGTTGACCTACCTCTGACTACTAATTTCAGCACATGTCAGAGGATGGACCACCTATCATGGTTCCGTGAAGTGTCCGGGATATCAGTCCTTCATTACCTCTTCAAGTTGAAGTTTGGTTGAGTAGAGTTCACGGACGCCTTCTTTGTATTCTAGATCTCCTCTGCGGATGAAACCTTTCGTGTTTTTTTTTTTTTAAGAATAGGAGCTAATGGGGGACTGGCCCCTCGCTGATGGTGGGTACATCAGGGGTCCCGCCAGTCCCGGTGAAACCCTCCTGCAAGCGGGCTGGCAGGTGCAAGACCCCTCGAAGCTGATTTAGACGATGGGAATGGTCCCCATTGTCCCGGTCAAAGACCGAGGTTTCTCCCGTCTGTTTTACAGATTACTCATTAGTTAGGACAGTTGCAATAGCAGCCTAGAAAAGGATGAGACCTATTCGTTAACTTTTAAAGAATGAAAACACGTTGGGGCTATTTTAGACCCACTTTTAAATATTATTAAATCCTATCCATTTAATAATAGCTTTATATAAGTTTCAGGTACCTATCAGGTGCCCCGTGAACTGCTTGGGATTGACAGGTGCCAGCTGTTAAGAAAACATTATCAGGCTCCCTGTTTGTCCCGACAGATAGAGAGGATAGCTGCTTAATAAGGCAAACTAACTAAAGAGAGAGATCCTACGATTGACGCTGAGCTGCCTTAATTGGTGGGGGATGGAAGCGATTAGGACAGTTGTGGCTGCAAAGGTGTGAGAAGGGGTGGGTAAAATCAAAGTCTCCTTTATGGGGTATCTAGAGGGCTTGATGAGTTGAAGAGTGAAGGATTGGAAATGGCCTAAAAGGTGGCCGGGGGAACAGAGAAGATGAAATTTATTTTCTAAAGTCCCTTATATATTGAAATCCACTGCGAAAAGCGCGACATACAGAAGCAAGGCGAGTTCATCTTTCCATCGATGCCTGAAATCTTAATTAATTAGATGGGCGTGGAGGATATGTTCAAGTGGGGGAGCGCCAACTTCAGCGGGATTTCCCAAGAAATCATCTACGTCACCGATATCTTCCACAAGGCCTACATCGAAGTCGACGAGAAGGGGTCTGAGGCAGCGGCTGCTACCGGTACGTCCGTGAACCTTCACTAGTACCTTTTCGCAGTCCTGGATTTAATGGCGGTATGGCGCGTGGATGAGACCTGAATGCTCACATTGACATACATGTTCATTCTCAAACAATGTTCAATCTTCACTCAGATCATAGAGATTTTATGATATCCCTAACCTTATCCTTAGAGTTTATACATAACGGCGGGATTTAGGGATCCTATAGGTATCACAAATGCAAAACTTCACATTTCTACGATTCACATGGAGAAGATCCGATGAGTCATTTTCATAACACAATGTTACGAGTTCTACATGTGAATTGTACGGCTTGATACAACATTAAACCGTCAATCACTTTTATACCAGACTTAGGAGAGAGGCCACCTAGAGAAGACGTCTTAATTACATTGGGTGACACGCACCAGGTCGGTTTTTAAACTAATCCGATTTCATAATGAGCGTCTAGGGGAATCGGCTTAGCGGAAATGATCTTATTCCCACAGACACCCATTATGAAATAGGATCAGTTTAAACGGAGGAAAAACGGGTCTGCGGTGCCTTAAACCAGTAGCGTATTACCGAAGCATCGAAATAATTAAACAAAGACATCCTGGAGTTAGTAATTATAAAAAATTATGCATGACACTCGACACAGGACTGGTGTTCTTCACGAGGAGCGGACTGGACTCGCCGCGGATAATCGTCGTGAACCGTCCTTTCCTCTTCTTCATCACGCTCCACGCACCCAACGCGGACCTCCGGCAGGCCCCCCAGGCCATCCTGTTCGCCGGCAGGGTCTCCAAGCCTCCCCCGCGTCTTTCCTCCTCCGCCTAGTCCCTTCTCCGTCCTCTGGATCGATCGAACTGCGTCGGTCGGGTCGTCGATTACCTCACTCATCGAACCGGATGTTGACCTAGAGGATTTGAGCACGGCTTCTGCGAAATATAATGGCTGTTCTTACGTACATTTTCCCGTTCGTCTTATTTCCTCTTTACAGTTTGACTCAAACCATGAGAGAATACAAAGCAAAACACTTATCTCATTTATTTACTCGTTCCGCAATAACTTTTCATTCGCTTGCTCGTAACTCCCAATTTGCCTACCGAGACCAAAGTAGGAAATTAATTATGATTATGTGCATATATATGGACATATAAAAGGTAGGTTCAAGGAAGTTTCGAGACTGGGCTTATTGCACACGAACGGTGAGAACTACGGCACTGTGGCTATGTCGCCTTCAAGCGGTGGCTCAAGCTTATTACACACTTGCGCCAGCGTCTGTAAAGTTCCTCAAAGCAGGACCCGTTTTCAGCAACCTCATTCAACCCCGCCACTGTAGTTCTTCAACCTCGGGAAAAGGTAAAAGTCGCATGGTGAAGGATCCGGGGAGAAGGGGCAGTACAACTGTGCCAGAGTCAGCCAAGTGACAGACCTCCATCGGCGATCTGTGTGCTGGAGCGTCGTCGTGGAGGCGGCTCCAATTCGATACTGACCGCCGGCTGGCACCAGAGGATTTAAACGCGGTGCAACCTAGTAACTGCCACTGAGTCCCAACCCATGAGCTCTTGGATAGCACATGGGGTGAGACCCTAGACACGCACACCAATGTTTGTTTTCGGTAAACGCAAGGTTCGGAGACGGTGAACCGAGTCTCGAAATAGTTTGAACCTAATATAGATTGTACGTCCTCCGTGATGCAATTTCTTATTCCAAGAATCATTCTAATCGAGACATCTCGGTAATCACAATCCGATTGTGATGGCTAAGAATAGAAGCGCATGAAAAGAGGGGTTAAATCCTCCCCCGCCCCCTGCTTCCCTCCCCCTCGCCCCCCCAGCCCCCTCCTCCTCGCCCCCCAGCTCCCTCCTCCCCCTTTGCAGAAATCACCAAACTTCCCTCTCTTCTCTCTCAATCGAAGCCCTCCAGTTCTGTCTACAAATCTCGTTACAGGATCCCCTCGAAGAGATGGGGAAGCCTGGCTGATTCCACCATCCATTTGCGTTGTAGTCCTGGTACCCTTGTCATGTATGACGGAAGAGAGGAAGAAAAGAGAAGAGTAGACGGAAGAAGACTTGTCATGTCCGTGATTGAGAGTAATCGAGTCCGGGGTTCAACGAAGCCAAAAAAATGGGATCTTCCCTTCCCCCGATCCAATTTCGCGGCTGCAAGCACTTCACCATCAAGAGCTCATCCACATTCTCATTAAACTTTGGAGAGGTCACCCAAACACTAATTTTCGAGATCGAAATGTCCTTTAAATTGCTTCAGGTAAATGCCTGAAGGACTCGAGTCATTCCTTCACGCTTTACCAGGCAACTGCTGAAAATGTCAGTCCCCCATGAACAGCAGCTTGCCCATTAATTAGTCCATTCTCGTCGTCTGGAGTAGGCAGAATGAAAGAATCATGTTTATTAAGGAGTTTATAAAGCACCCACCCTGAAGGAATAACCCTGAAAGGCCCCTCAGGAGCACCAGCCGCACCAGACCTGCATGCACATCGCTCCGCCTACGCTGCGAAGCGCCGTAGAAAGCCTCATCCGTCTGTTCAATATAGAAGGAATGCGGTGCCGGAGAGAGAAAAGAGATATAGAAGGAAAAGAAAGAGAATAGTATTGAAATTAACCCGAGGAGCCCTTCTGTGGGTTGGGGGCAAACGAGATCGCACCCGCTTTGCAATTCCAATGCTTCGCAGAAAGAGGCAGGGCGGGTGGGACTCAGGAATGGATCTTCCTGTTGATCTTTTATTCACCATCCCCCGTCAGGAGGAAAAACCCTGGCTTTTGCCCTCCATCACCGTTGGAACAAAAAAATATAATTTCATGAGGAGCCGAAAAATCAATCCTCACGATGAGGATGGGGGAAGTTCGCGTGGGTTTCACCCCCCCCCCCCTGCTCGAAACAGGTAATTCTTCCCAGTACATCTGAGAAGAATGGGTTCGCAAAGAGGTACTGACATGGAATGGAATTAAGTAGCTGTGAATTCAGCTTGTTTCACACAAAGAGAATTTTCATATCCCATAAAAGTTACATTAATCCTCATCAAGAATCGATCGGACCCATAGTGTAAGAAACAGCTTTAACTCAGAAGCCAATTGAAATTAACTCGTATACAATAGGAAACTCAATAAAAGCTCCATTATAATCGTACTTTTACTAATTAAGGGTATCATCGCCCATTAAAGATTACATAATGGCTCATATTAAAATTCAACATTAATTATACGTCCATGGATTATCCCTTGGAGATTCCGAGGGTAATAGCAAATAAGTCAAGTCCGATTTAGACCAGAATCAACATTAAAATTCACACGATAGGAGACCGTGTTCACCTCGTCGTGACATTTCAGTCTTGCGAAAGACTTTCAGAGAAGACGGAGGAAAGACTCCTTAATCGAAGCTTTGATCAAATTTTACATGCAAAGGGAGATGCTGAGGCTGCAGAATAAAAAACGTAGAAATTATAAATGTATTGCTCGTGTCTCCACTCTCCATAATGAGGTTCCGACTTTCCCCCTCTGAATGAGGAAAAGCTCTTTTTTGTTTCACCCTCTCCTCACGCATAACGTTTAAGACATCTATAATTAAAACATTTTCTGTGCTCACCTTTCATGCCTCAAGCACATCTTGAGAAAGGGATAAAATTTTCCAAAAGTCGAATTTTATAATGCTTTATTTATTCGGAGCAAGGGAAACAAAATAAGAAATGCAGTACGAGTCCTCCAAGTAAGAAGGCAATACGCAGTGCAGACCGAAAAAAAAAAATACTACCATGTACTAGAGCGAGGAATGAAAAGTTAGAGGACAGAAAACATTCTTTTTCAGATAAACCTGTCCCTCCCTTCAAGTCAGAAGATGGATTGCACGGCCCAGATCAGACACTACGAGGTCCTCCCCATCCCCCCCCCCTCCCTTCTTCCTCCACCTCTCCCTCCACCTCCCCCCCNCCTAGAATTTTCGAATGGGGAGGGATCTGAGGGCTGAAAAGCTTCGAGCGTGGGGGTGAAGGACGCTGGGCGGTTTGTACAGGCCCCCCCCCCCCCCCCCCCCCCCCCCCCAGTGGCCCTTACTCTTCCCGCTTCGATCCGCAGTACGCGCACGACGAATGCCATCGCTGGGATACGCCTCGTCCATCACTGTCCGTAATAGGCACCTTTTTTTGTTCCCTCCATTTCTCCATCGATTGCGCATCCGGGATAGTGAAATATAATATTGATGGCCCCGGCTTCAATCTCACACCCAACATACTCCGACGCGAGGGAACTCCAAAGGACATTATCCGGACCTGGAGCCCGTATATCACGTTATCAATTAATCGCAGAGAGCTTCCTCGGATCGAAGATTCGACGGGTGTGGAACCGTATTTCACTGTCGGGATGGGAAAGCCTCGCTTTCGAGGCTCGAGAAAACTACACATTCCTCGCAGGGCTGTGCTCCTGTCGCCGAAGATGTTTTTCCTACTGTAATAATATTGTGATAAAAATATATATGTTATATATATATATATCAATAACATAATAAAACGTTCGCAAGGTTCAGAATACAAAATACGGAGGAGCAATAAAGCCCTGAATGCAAGGTTGATTGAAGGAGACGGATATTGAATTGACAAAGAATGGCGTCCCGAAGGCAAAAGGAAAGGATATCAGCGGGACCATCCGGCACGTTTCTAGCTTACTGATCAAAATGTACCAGGGCCCCACCATTCACAAATTCCGCAGGAAAGTAACTTTGTTGACCTTTGCGAGCAACAGGGAGATGTTTCAGCGGCAGCGGCGGTGCAAGGTATAGAGGGGGGAAAAAAATGGGGGGAAAGGGGGAAAAGGCGTGAAGGGGGAAAGAAAAGGAGGGAATCGACTCCATAGAACGCTGGAGATGGGAACAAAGCAAGAAAGAATCCACAGAGAGATCGATAATGTAAATGCAGAGAATACAGAACAGAGGGATGAATCGGGAGGGAAAAGCGGAAGCTCATTAGACGAAAGAGAGGAGAGGGAGAAGACCCCTCGGAATATTTAGCTACTCATTACCTGAGAGCATATCTGGAATAAGGCTAAACGACTGGCACTTATCTCGTCCTCCTTCCGCACATGTCTTCCATTTAATACGTGCCAGCGCCGAATCGGCACTCGAGGAAGATCAACGGCAGTGCGGTCAGTGAGGGTGCACTGGATAGGGTGCACTGGATAGGGTGCACTGGATAGGGTGCACTGGATAGGGTGCACTCGACAGGGTGCACTCGACAGGACGCATCCAGCCTCTCGTGCACCAAGTCGAGCGAGGATGATCGATGTGACAAGATGACAAGATTCCTTCGAGCTGAGTCCTGCATCTTTTAAAACAAGAGGCAATAAAGAGAAAACCTTGTCGTCGATTTGGCTCTTGAAATATTCAACTCACCAACAAAACCTATCAGGAAATGAATACTTGATACTCGCGACCCTTTCTTGGTAAAGGTGGAGCGCATCGAACCCCGGAATCCAACCTCAGGAAATATTCTTCTACGTGACTCCTTTTACCGCGTGCGGAGAAAAAAAAAAGTCGCTGTTTGAATGCTCTTATCAGAATGTTCATATGTTTGAACGTTCATATCAGAAAACCGGTCAAGGCCACCCCTCCTTCTTTCCAGCAGGTACGCATCAGCATTTCCTTCCAAATTTTCCCCGTGCCGGTTGAGCCACACGAAGAACTTCGAAGTTCGCGAGTTAAATCATGCAAATCCTCGCATGACCAAGTCCCCTGAAATTGATGCATGATGGATCGTCCTTGAGCCTGGATGACAGTATTGAGCCGCGATGTCCTTTGAAAAATCGCTCTCTGAATGAAGTCGGTGCATAATTTCGTTCATAAAACACGTTTTCACACCGCCCTGTCTGCTTTAGACATGATCAAAACCGACACAATAGACAAGTTCGCGCTAAAGCGATCAAGCGTACCTGTTTCAGCGAGAGACTAACACATGGAGCTG